GCACAGCTTGAAAGCAAAAATGGAAAACGATGTTAAGGGTGTTACAGCTTGAGTTCAATGCTTGGGATAGCTTCAGTGGATGATATGAAACATGTTTGAACTCTTTTTAGCCAAAATGCACGAGTGGAAATGTTTGTGGATGTCAAGTTGCAGAACTTGCTCTGTTTCTGCAGCAAGAGGGTGTTTTTGTGAATGAGGAGGTTTGAGATGTGGTTCAGTCGTGCTTTAGGTCAGTTAGGGTGTGTGAAAGATGTTTGTAAAGTTTGCTTTCGCTGGTTGTTACAGGAATGAGAGATTGAAGTTGTTTTGCAATCTTTGCTTGTTTTGAAGTAAGTAAACTCAAGTCCTTATGCAGGCCTATATATCTTCTCTATCTATGTTGTACCTCTTGTTCTTGATCAGAGTGATTTGTGTATCAATGCTAGCCTCAAAGATCTGGCCCATGCCTCTTGGATTTGTTATTTGACATAAAGCATTACTTTATCAAAATGGCAAATATGTTTTTTCCAATTAAGGGTTAATCTTGCATGTAATGACCAAATGAACAAAATAACACCTTAGCACAATGGTTAGGCATTTAATTATGGTGTATGAAACTGGTTTTGAGGCCTGCAAGCTAGCTTGTACAAGCTGATTTGAAAAATGCCAATGTATGAACATGTATTTGGTTATGAACAAAAGTGACTTTTGCTCAACTTTGCAAATTCGATTCTCCCTAACCACAAGGGTGTTTGAGAAGTTCTTGGACAATTTGGAAAGCTTGGAATGTGTACTACAATCCATCTTTGTAATGCAAATTGAAACTCCAAGTGGAACTATGTGAAAAGTGGCCATGAAGTTGGACAAAAATCCTGCCTAGAATAGGTCAAAAATTTTCTAAGTTAAGAATGTTTTGCACCCTTGTTCCAAAAATCATAACTTGAGCTACAAGCTTCCTTTGAGAAGACTTTGTGAATCAAAGTTGTAGATTTTGCAATGGACTACAACTTTCATGTTTTGAGTTTTGTTTGAATCCATTTGCATCTTGGTAAAAAAAAGGGACAAAGTTAGGAAAAAATAAGGAAGTTTCATAACTTAGAAAAATTCTAAGTTATGAAATTTTCTCATTCTTAAACCCTAATTTGCAATTTTGGGTTTCTTGATGAACAAGTTTCATAATTTGACATGTCTTGATGAAAAATGAATCTTGGCACTTGATTTTGACCAAAAAGTCAAAGTTTGAATTTTCAGTATACAGTCAAATTTTGATCAGTTGACTGGAAAATTCATCTGTCAATCCTGTGCACTTGGGATCTTTTGAACTAGTTGAATGTGTCAAGACAATGCCATTGATTCCTTGAGTCCATATGTGAGTTTGGTTTGCCATTGGCTAGGTCAAACAGTCAAAAATTGCCTTTGTGTAGTCAAAATCCTAAAAATGACTATTTTTCCCTTTTGGTGATCTGATCAAATTTCTTGTGGAATTGTGATCAATACTTAACCAAATGGTTCATATGAGTTCATTATGTTGATTTGGATCAAAAATCATGAGGTTTGACTATCAATTGGCCACAATTGACTTTTTCCTCAATACAACTGATTTCTAGGTCAACTGTCCAATTGACTGGGCAAAGATTGGAATCAAGGCTTGAAACTTGGTATGGATGAACTTGTGAGTCCAACATGAAGCATGAAAGTCACTTTGGGTATTTTAGGTCAAAACATCTTTGTGCAAACTCAAACCCTAATTTGGGTCAACAATGCAAGGAGGAGTCTTGAGCAGAGCAAACCCTAACTTGATCTTGAACTCCAAGGGTCTTGTGGTGAGAAAAATGTTGATGAAAAGAGAGGGCAAATTTTGGGGTACAACAGTGAGCAACACATGTTCATCATCCTGGGTCACCTGTTCTGCAATCCCTAGATAATGGATGGACTTGCAAGTTATGAAGGGCAAAACAGTTCCTCCATTTGTGCGAGATGTGCATACTCAGTTGGTGATGTGTCATCGGGTGAGGAGCACGTGGGGAACGTGTTCTCCACTGGCCTCAATGGATTGTGTAACACCCTAAAATAATTAGATTATTTATTTAATTATTTGATTTATTTATGATGAGTTTTTGTGATGTATTTGTGATGTTTATATGATGTCTTGATGAATATGATACTTGATGTAATGTTTTGTGTGGTGTATGATGGGGTAGTGAGAATTAAGATGATATTGAGTATTTTTAGAATAACTGAGATAATTAGAATAATTAGTTGAAATTATTTTTAATTAGTTAAATAGAATAATAATAATAAGAGGTAGAAACTATGAGGATAAGATGGTAATATTGTGATGTAAGTGAGGGTAAGATAGGAAGACCATAGGAAGGGTCCAAGGGTTAAACAAGGAATAGAGGGAAAAAAGTCTCATTTTGTACAATCGTAAAAAGAGAAGAACACTGTGGAGAACCAGGGCGCAGAAAGAGCTAAGGGATTTTTGTAGAGCACAAAAGAAATAAATTGCTGCTAGGAATCTAAGGTAAGGGGAGTTTATCGTTGTTATTATAATTGATCAAAGGTTTAGATGATTGTAGGTTTATGGTAGGGTTTTGCGGTTGATCGTGTTACTATGATGTTTGATGAGAAATTGATGAAATTGTGATATTTTCTTGCAAAAAATTGATGTATATGATGTATGATAATTTGTGTTATTGTTATATGATGAAACTAAGCGAAATTATGAAGATTTGAGACTTGTAATACGATGAACTCGTGTAAAAATTGGATTGGTACAATGCATATATCGCAACAGAGAAGTCCTGTTCATGTTGCATCATCGGGCGAGCCATGTGCATCGTCGGGTGAGTGAAGTTCGCCAAAGTAGCGCCAGGCGAGCAAGAGGCAAATGGATGGGGGTGAAAAACATAGCCCCTGGATTTTTGTCTGGAGGGTGGTCACTTGCTCGAGCTTTGTCGGACGAAGCAGAAGCGAGAGGTTATCGTCGGGTGAGCGAAGTGCTTCGCCAGATGATGTAGACAAAAGAAAATAGAGCCCCTGGAGTTTCGTATGAGGATGGTGCTATCGCTCCCACATCGCCGAGCAAGCCTCAGGCGACCATCCTGTTTCGCCAGGCGAGCACCAGGTGATGAACAACATTAGCATTTTTTAAAAGTGTCATAACTTGAGTTTCAGAACTCCGCTTGATGCGTCGTTCAATGTGTTAGGAAGCTAACGCGATGAACTATACTTTGGAGGAATAAAATGAGTTATATGAAGTGTTTTTAGTACATATGCTTTGATGAATAATATGATTCAATGGTTATTCTATTATGATGTGTGTAACATGATGCATGTGATGATATTATGATGATTTTATGAATAGTGATGCGTTTTGACTAGCCGTGGTCGTGTTGTTATTAAGATGTTACACATCATGCATTCATGGCATATGTTAGGACTGAGCCCGATGATGATTTGTAGGACCCTGGTCCAGTGAAGTTGCAGAACAAATAGTCCAGTGATGGTCTCAATCCCATAGTGTGGATTGAGTATAATTTATGATGTGCTCTGGTTCCAAGTGTGAATCGATCCTATTGGTGAAGATCTTTGGAGAAAATGATGATTGTGTCATCAGTGAAGTTTTGGTACCACATGCATGAATCTAAGGAAGTTGCATTGCATTATGCGTGACATTGCATGATGATTGATTAAGTGATGTTTTGGTGATATGCATGGATTAATGATTGTTCTATTGATGACTGTCAATTGATGATGCTGTGAAGGTGTGAATACAACATGAGGTTTTGATGATGTGGTGTTCCTTGCTATTGTGTTATAACTACTATATTTACTCCTTATGTCTTTTATAATGATTATGATTTACTCACCCTTTATGCTTGAAAATATTGTATCTATACGTGGGTAACTTGCAGGTAACCAATAATAGCTCGTAGAGGTTTGATGATAGCTTGGAGTTATTTGTTTATTTTCGTTAATGTTAGTGGTCTTGCTTTGATATTGTAACATCGAGTGAAAAACGCAACGTTTGAATTGAAGTTTCAATTGATTTGATAAATATATTCTTATGAGTTTTATTATGATGGATGTATTTTGTGGTTGACTTGTGATATTGACAAAAAAAGTTTTTATATTGATGAACCAAATGAAGTTATTTTGAGACTATGATTTCTGCTGCGAAGTTTGAATGATGTTATTGACATTTTAAAATAAGTATTATTATTTAGTAAAAAAAAATTGTTATAAATAATTTAAAAACTCGTGTTACAGAGCAGGGTATTTATTACATGATATTTATATGAAGATGTGACACACTTATGTGTAATATATGTGATTTAACATTACATTATTCATAAAATTATTTATTAGATTAAAAGGGTGTTACAGATTGAACCAACACTTTAGACCATCTTCGACATATACATAGATTTGGTCGTACTCGACGCTACAACCACAAATCCAATCCAAAACACTATTAAAATAATAAAAATAAAAAAAGAATAAAACCATAACTTTATTTATTACTTTCCTTTTCTTTAATTTTTTTAATTTTACATTAGAAAGAATAAATAAAAAAAATCCGTGGCGTGTGGTAGAGATTACGACTGAAAATAAAGAATTTCTTATAATTGTAAGTAGATATCCAATACCGCGCGAAACGCGTCAATTTCGCTTCAAACCAAAACGCAGTGCTTAAATCGCTTATTTATTCTTATTCCACCGCATTTTCCCCCTTTATAAATAATCTCTTTTCCCTCCTTCGGCAGCCAAACAATCCTCATCCGGTTCTTCTAACCCCAAAACCCTATTTCAATTCTCATTCCTTCACCACCACACCCTTAAAACCTTACCCTAACAATTCTAACTTATAATCATAATCTCTTTCAGAAATTCCCCATTTCTCATTTTGTTTTAATTTCTTAGAAACCTAATTCAATTACAATTTACATTCCTCAATCAATTTCAATCTCTTCATACACTTACCGTTCAACCGCCGCGGCCATCACCGAAAACGTAAAATGGCTATTCCCTTCCCCCATTTCATCTCCTCCGAGAAAGCCGCCATGGAAGCCGGCCTCCTCGTCCCTTCCTCCCCCTCCTCCTCCGTCTCCGTAATCCTCAGCCAAGACGATTTGAAGAAAATCGCCGCTTACAAAGCCGTTGAATACGTCGAATCCGGTATGGTTCTCGGCCTCGGAACTGGCTCAACTGCCAAACACGCCGTCAACCGTATCGGGGAGCTTCTCCAGCAAGGGAAACTCAAGAACATCATTGGCATACCGACTTCAACGATCACTCACGAGCAAGCTCTGTCGCTAGGGATTCCTTTATCAGATCTCGATACTCACCCTGTCGTCGATCTCGCTATCGACGGTGCTGATGAAGTTGATCCGTATCTGAATTTGGTGAAAGGACGCGGCGGCTCGCTCTTGAGAGAGAAAATGGTGGAAGGTGCTTGTAAGAAATTTGTTTGCATTGTAGATGAGTCAAAATTGGTTAACTATTTGGGTGGAAGCGGTTTGGCTATGCCGGTTGAGGTTATAAAATTTTGTTGGAAATACACTGCTGGGAGGCTTCAGAGTTTGTTTGATGAATCTGGTTGTGTTGCGAAGTTGAGAACTTTTGGTGAGAAGAAAGAGCCTTATGTTACTGATAATGGGAATTATATTGTGGATTTGTATTTTGAGAAGAGTATTGGTGATTTGAAGGTTGCGAGTGACGCTATTCTGAATATTGCAGGTGTTGTGGAGCATGGAATGTTTTTGGATATGGCTACTACTGTTATTGTTGCAGGTGAACTTGGGTTAACTGTGAAGAATAAGTAGTTGAGAATTCGGAACTGGGGTTTAAGGTTTAGAAGAATGATATTTTAGTTTTAATTATTGAATTTGAAATGGGTTTCTAACATTTTATATGGTGTAGTGGTTAAGTATTTATTTAGTGAATCGATTAGAATAGTTGGTTCTTGTTTTGTTTTTGTTGTTGGAGTAGGGTACTTTCGTACGATCCTTGTTGGATTGAATTGTTGAAGTAAGTGTCTTGATTCTCTGCTAGTTTAGTTTTGTATCTTTACTTAATTTGAGCAAGATGAAAGGAAATTGAGACTTGTTGTAAGCTGAATATTAAGCTTAAATAAGTTCTCTTTTGTGTGGTGCACTGAATTAGTTGTCCACACAATTTCTTGTTGAATTGATGGTGTTTATCATATTGAACTTATCTGAGTTAAGTTTTGTTCATTTTTCCTTTGGTTTGCTACGGTTGATAGTTCTCTCATCAAAACTGGTATCAATTCATAAATCATTTTTGTCATTTACATAGGCTTTAATACCGATTGAACATATGATAACCCGGTTAATATTTGAAGTCTATATCTGCAACAACCTAAAAGGAGATACTTCTGTCAACAGAATTTGCAAATATTGGAAGCTCTTTCTGACTTTCAAATTTTATATTTTATTTGTCTTTATTTTAGTTTGTTTCTTACATTTGCAATCAGTTAATTTTAGGGGTCACTCTATTGAAGATGACAACTATCCATTCAGTGGATTTCAGTGTTATCAAATATCAGCCACGGAGGCGCTATCGCAGATATACTTGGCAGTTTTTGGGCTTGCCGCAATGGTAAATATCGGCCGATATTGAAGGTTTTTCTGCTATAACTGTGCTGCAAAGCGGCAGATATGGCAGGACTTTGGCTCTCCGCCATGGACTGCCGCCATGGACTGCCATCTAGCGTCCATAACACCGGTGGATTGTAAAAGGGTTGATTAATTGCCGTGTCTTATATTTCATGTTCTCTAATTACATTATTTAAACCTCTATCAACTCTCATAGAGAAAGATGTTAAAAAAGCTACTACTATTTTCTAAGCTTAACCACATGTGCATCTTTCATTAGACCAATTGTTAGTAACTAGCACTAGTTCTGCTCCTTTATTAGAAAAACTCTGGAAAAGTACTGCAATAATTGATTTCAGTTATTACTTTATCAGAAAACATCAATAGAATGCAAGCTGGTTGGCAATTTGGAAGACATTTTCCTCAGTAGAGACAATGCATGCTTTCCTGCATTTGCAACATGTAGATAAAGTAAAAATTTCATCATGAAACTTGTGAAACTGAAACGTTACTCATTTGAAATGGCTGAAGTGCCAACCATAAAGTAATGCAAGGGTGCAGTATAAGCTATTGAATTGTTCCATAATCCTTGTAAAAAAGGGTATTGGATTGTTCCCGGAGTGAAATGAATCTCATCAAGTATTATTTCAGAAATTGAAAAGATTCAGGCCAAGCTATATATAATTTTAGAGCTGGTCCTGTTTTTCTTTTAGTAGTTCTTAGCAGGTACTATATCTTATCATGTCAGGGCTATTTCCCTGCGACCTCTTGAATTTTTATGCACCCTTCAGTATATGAATACCTTCTATGTATGTATTAAGTGCAAATACATGATACCTTCATGCTGATCATTATATTTCATATCTGATGTGTTGCATCCTTTTTCTCAGAGTAGTCCTTTTTCTGGCTGTGAAAACTACAGCTGGATAGGAATTTGTTATTTTGTATAATTTATAATGAATGACAAAACCTTACTCCATTAGTGTAAACATTGGGGAAGTTTTTCTTTGCATGTCCAACATTTTATTCACTTTCCAGTCCTTGTTACTTAAATTTTTTTCTCGGTTTGATGGATGCCTTCTAATATTGGATCTGAGACACGAGTTGATATTGATGCATTAAGAATTAAGCTGCAAAACCTGCTTACTCTTAATTATTGTATACTTTTAAAAATTAGAAATGAAACCTTCTAATATGTTATTATCAAAGCTTATCAACTTGTGTCTCCTTATGATGGAACCTTGCTAGTATGTGAAATTATTTCATTTGAGTTCAAGATTGTTCTCAATTCCTTCATAAGTTCTTTGCCCCTAAGGATCAATGCATTTTTACTCTAAACCAATGTTAAATTGAATATGAAATTAATTGATTTCACGCTGTTGTGGGTTTTATGTAAATAATATGTTTTAGTGTTATCAAATAGCGGCGCCATGGCCGCTATGACGGATATACATGGTGGTTTTGGGCTCGCCGCAATGGTAAATATCGCCGATACTGTGGGTTTTTCCACCATAATTTGCTATAACGGCACCGCAAAGCAGCCGGTATGGTGGGATTTTGACTCCCCCATGGACAACCACCATCGACAACGCTTATATGTCACAGATTTCTCATGCGAAAAGCTTGCTATTGGGTTGACATTATCCCAAGCCTATTTGGCTGTGAAAAATATACACTTAATGGTAAAACTTGTTAGGTCACAATGATATGGTATGTCCCTTTATCGATTTGCCATCCCAAATTGCAAGACGAGGTTTCAAGGGAGCGTAGTTGATTCTATCATCAAATTGCTTGTTCACAAGCTAGCTGGTATATCATGTTAAATACAGATGTTGGGAATTTACCTGCTACAGGGTGACATTTAAGGCTGAGGTATGTTCTCTTAATTCCTTTCAAGTTTACTTTGGCAGAATTAGTTAGTTCATCCAATTTTGCAACGATTAGCCCACAAGGCCCTTAAATCATTGAGTTGAACGAATTAATTAATTGAAAAGTATTAGCAATATAGTCTCAAACACACTCTTTGAAATTCACCTAGATTCCAATAAATTTTTTGGTTCCCATATGAATTTTGTAGCACACGTAAATATCAACCAGTAAAAGAGTTTGTTTTGGACAGTATGTTATTAGCATAGTTCAAATTAAACCGTGTTGACTTGATTATTATGATTTTTGTTTCATTTTTATTACTAAATTTATGGCCCAATAGACACATGTCATTTCTCTCTGTCCAAAATATTTCTTTAGTATCCATGTGTTTTAACTGGTTACAGTTACTAGCATTTTTTAACTCAAAAATGTTTTTAAGGGTATGATTTTTATTTGCATTGAATTTGTGAAGTACATGGTTTAATATATAACTTAACAGTGAGGGTGTTTATGAGCCATTCTTCGTCTCATCTAGTGACTCGGCTGCAACTAGTGCGGGATTTTCTTTACTATATTATTTGTCTTGAAGTAAAAAGCATTTTATGAAAGCTGATACTGGAGAGAAAGAGTTAAGGATGAAGGCCATTTAACTTCAAGATTATTTGTAATGAAGTTCAAGCTAGAAGCAAGAAAAAGCGAATGAAAATTAATTTGAAAAACAAAATTGCAAGGTAGATAAAAATGCTGGAGTTGGCGGTGAAGTGTTCAACAGACAATATCTAAATGTTAGTGCGTCTTTTCTTTCCTGTTACTGTTAGTATCTTTAATATGCTAATAATGGATGTGGCCCCAATTAAAGTGTCCACCACAAAACTTGCTTTGTTTTTCTATCTTCTATTATGCTTTCTCTTTTGTATATGTCTGCTTTCTTTGAAGCCCAGTGCCTTTCTTTTCTTCTAATAACTTTCCTTTCTTGCTGGTTAAGATTTCCTATTCTTCTCTTTTTAACAAAATTTCAATACTTTACTGAATTTACTCTCTTTATATGAGCTGGTGTGCAAGTAATATTGCAGTCCAACCCCGATTCTAAAACTAGCTGAATCAGGTATCATCATGGCAGGAACATCCTCGAAAGTTCCGATTGAGATTGTAAGTGATGATGAGATGGCTTCAATTGATGCTGCGTTAACTTCTGCAGCCCGTTCTTCAGTCACTCCTGCTGCTGCTGTTCCTGCTATACATTCATCAGCATCAGCACCTCGGGTTCGCAGAAATAGCACAACAGTTACAGTTGAAGCCAAGAAAGGGCCATTCACGTGTTCTGAATCCGACATTGAAGATATTGGCAGTTTTGTAAGTACTAGTAGGAAAAAGAAGTCTAGAGAAGATGACACACTACTTCATCGATTTAGGAGCAAGAGGGGATTGTTTGTCACTGACATCACCAGGACAGAATGGTGCGAAAAGCAAATGGAATTTTCTCTATTTTCTGAAGAATGGAAGAATCATGAACCTAAACCAGATTTGGCCTTTGTTTATGGAGGAGGAAAGAGGAAGAGTAAAGCGATGAGAGCTGGTATAGATCGGCACAATCAGCTTGAACAAGAGGTTCTAGAAAGAGTGGAAGTAAATGTGAAGTCATGCGAAGATTTTATGGCACTGAAGCTTCTTAATTTCATTAATGGTGTGATTCAACTGTTGGCCGAAGGACTAACTCGTGAGCTTCCTTTAATAAGCTTTGATTTTGCACAAGGTATATGGATTGTTGGAAAGATCGATGAAATTCGTATGCCTAATACAAGAAACAATCATAAGCCGGTACTAGTTGAAACAAAGACTCGTTACCGAGATACAGTTCCTTCAGAATCACAAAAAAGAAACGGCAGGATTCAACTAATGTGTTACAAGTATTTGTGGGACAACTTAGTTGCTCATGCAGATCATGACTTCCCTTCTAAGCAACTATTCGACTATTTCGAGTTAAATCCTCGACGTTTCTTATGCAAAGATCTACAAAGGGCGTGTGTTGATTCGGGAATCACAGCAAGGAGACTTTCTGATTTGGTGGCGTGTTACCAAAATACGTGTAAGATGTTATCCCCTGCTAACGATAAGCTCGTGTTGATATATGAATCTCAGAGGGATCAGTCAGTATTGGAAGAAGAAGAGTTTATGTATGATGATGGTTGGATAAAGAGTGAAATTAGGAATTGTGTTGAGTTTTGGCTTGGACAGAGAGAAGCTAGTTATGTTGATGAGGAAGATGAATGGAAATGTGGTTTCTGTGAGTTTGTTTCTCAGTGTCCTGCTTATACTGATGATTCTGAGAGCACAGAAACACTTTCAGAGGATGATGACTCAAGTGAGTGATTAAATGTTTAAAGGAATGGTCTAATAATAGGAGGGACTATGATGATTTCAAATATAAATAAATATTGTAAAATTACATAGCTATAAATAACATGTTTTCTGAAATTTGGTGTGCATGGTCTTAAGTATAATATAATAACATTCAACAGTTGATTTTTAAAATTTAGTATCGTTGGAAGATGCTTAGAAGGTCAGGGCGAATGGTTTGTGTAATCTCAATCTGGGGTTGTTTAAACTCTTGGTCAAAAAACTTCAATCATAGTGCCCAACTATAATCAAATGCTCAGGCATGGGACAAGCTCTATGGTCTGTCATAGGAGTACTATAAACCTAAAATTTTATTTACAATTTTTACTATTGTTGGGATTCCCATTTGTACCGATGCCACTACTAACAAGTCTAAGTTTGATAGAGATTTTGGACATTTTGTTGGAGTTTTAGCGGATATTGACCTCAGACAAGAACCAAAAATTAAGGTGTTAGTAGAAAGAACAGGATATGCATTCTTTGTTGATCTTGAATATGAAAATTTGCTTGACCTATGCTCTCATTGCAAAATCATTGGTCATCATGTGAATGTCTACAAGAAAATGACTCATGCTAAGGATGTGAGTGAAGGTAGATCCAAGAAAGATCCAAAGCTAAAACAAGTTTATGTACAAACTAATGATACTAGACAAAACTTTGAAAAATAGACTTTGAATACCATAGAGAAAAGGATCCTTGATTTTCCTCTCGTTGAAGTTGACCAATGGGAGATAAACAGAAGAATGAGAAGATGAATGGTGACTTTAGTTTGGAATCCTCAGAATTCGTGGATGCTACTTAGTTCAAAGATGTTGACTCTGTCAAGGACATTGACAACCTTGGCTCCCAACCTATTGGGGCCAACTCACTTAAGGGATTCCTCAAAGAATTTTGAGCTAATTTGGCAGAGGTAGGAGATAATCTACCAAGGTCTTGGATAAAAGTGCTTCTGGCATTGATATTGATGCCGACAGTCTCAGGCCCCAAGGTCACCCCATAGAAACTCTTAATAAAGAGGTTGGTCAATTCTAGTTTGTTGTCAACAAAAAGAAAACTAGTAGAAAGAAGAATTCATAAAAGAGTTCACATTGCTAGATCAATGATTGGTACTTCTACCATTGAGCAATGAGATGCCTAGTTTGGAATGTCAGGGGATTATCTAAAAAAACTTATTTTAATGAATATACTAGAGTTTGTCATAATTGCTGAGCTTTGGATGACTTTTGAAGACTTTCCTCTATCCTGGATTGCTAGACTTAAGAAGAAGTTATTTGCAGTCAACTCTAGAAATGGGCTTCTTCCCAACCTATGGTGTTTCTTTCTATGCTACAGATCTATAGTTAAAACAAAATCAAACCATTTCACTTTTCTCCTAGACTTTAAGCAATCTGAATTAAGTTTTGCATCTCCTTTTAGGTTCCTTAAGATATGATCCTCTCACTCAAACGGTATTAATGTAGTGAAATTTGTTTGGAATACTAGAATTGTTGGAATGATAAAAAAGATATGATCCTCCTATGTTCATCTTAAATCAGAAGTTGAAGCTCTTAAAAGAGAAACTCAAGATTTGGAACAAGAACATCAGGTGAACTTTTCTATGGCCAACTTGAGGAAGTTCAAGATCAAATCAATTCCCTTAGTGACTCTCAAGTTTTTTTAACCTTGAAAAGCAGGCTCAAACCAGTAGAACAATGCTCTTCAAATGGAAGGGATTTTTGGCGCGAGAAAGCTAGAATCAAATGGAATTGGAGGCAGACAAATCACAAATGCAGTTCTTATTTCCACCGGATGCCTCAGAGTTAATTCCTGCAACTAGATATGAGGAGAGTTTGATCACTAACCCTCCAGACACAGCCAACATAACGGTCAACCACTTTACTCTAATGACCTTATTGAGAAATCTACCCAATCTTATGCTTACCATGATTCCCTCAGCTATTAAAATCCGAAATGAAGTATTATTCTCTCTTAATAGTGAAAGTGCATCTGGTCAAGATGACTTCAATGCGTTCTTCTTTAAGAATTATTGAGATATCATTAGAGAAGAGGCCATCAATGTTACTCTTCAGTTTTTTACTTCATCTTGGATGTTTCTCAACTACAATGGCAACACAATTGTGTTGATCCCTAAAATTCCTCATGTTGAAAATGTCAATCACTATACGTCTATTGCCTTTGCTAAATTTAAATACAAGTTAATTGATGAAAACCGTATTTCTTGTATTTTATTATGCGGAGAAATTAAGAAAAGATTTGATACAATAATATCTTAAATAATATTTTAATTGATACTATTCATAAATACAATGGATATTAAATAATAATAAATTAATATTTCAACACTCGTCTTTAGAGATGTTAAAATGGGCTAATCCATACGACTGAGCTAACCATGATGAGTATGTCCGTCCGGTCCTAAAAATTTTAGGGTTTGAACATTAAAATTAGAGTCTATTTTGAGAATTTCTTTTTCTTCCATATAGTGTAAATAAATACCTTAAGCATTTCTTAAAATATTCTTCGAAAATCGAAAATATCTTTTCGATTTGCACTCACACATATAATTTATTCGTTTTTGAGATCCGTCATATTTTAAGACAAAATTTATTTTGCAAATACACTTTTGGAAATTCCCGAAAATGTACTTCCCGTAAGTTAATGCCGACAAGCTTATTCGCTATTGTATTGAATTTATCCATGGATTTAAACTTATTTCTCTTACATAGAGTTCTGTTTGACAAATTTCATTTTTGAGTTTATAGCTTTATGTTTAAAAAAAGTGTGATAGTCTTTGTTTTTGTCATAAGAATATCATTATTTCAATCATACATGACAGAATTTTGGAAAATATGTTGTTTGATTGCACACCAGAGTATGCATCATTGGGATTTTTGCAGCACTTATAAATTTATAATTATTTTGTTGCTATGATTGAATAGGTGAAAAAAATCTGAAATCCAAAATTTCAAGTTCACCTTCAAAAAACGCAGCTGTAAATTTTTCATCATTATATATATATATATATATATATATATATATATATATATATATATATATATTGTTTATGATGCATGTTTTTGTGACTAATTTTCGACTGGTAAAATT